AATGAACACGATTTTCTTAATTTTTTTCTCTAATTATTGTTTCAATTTTGTTTTTTACATTTTTAATTTAAAATAAATTAACATCAATTTTTCTGAAGTTTTAAACTTTATTTTAACATTTAACATAAATTCTTTTTCAATTAAATTGAAATGTTCTGTCAAAAATTTAAAATTTCTGAAACCAAATAAATTCAAATGAAAATGAAAATTTTTGATTTCTTTTCTCATAAAAACATTGTATTTTATTGTTCTATTTCGTACACAATGCGGCAAATTTAAGCAAATTATTTTACTGATTTTTTTGACATTTTTTTTCTACTTACAAATTATATTTTTAAGCTTTTATGCTCAAAATTTTTTATGTCTGTCCAATATTTAACAACTTTTTTTGCTATTTAATTATAAATTTGACTCGAGTTGCTTTATTGAGCCTTACACACACATACACACATGCGTTTATAGATTTTTTTATTAGCATCAACTTTTGAAGCTAGTTTTTTTACATTGAATATTTTTTTGTTTTCCCCTTTTTGTGTTTTTCAGGATTTGTTTTTGAGAATTTAGAAATCGCACATTTTTAACTTTTTGGTGAATAAATTTTAAAATAATTTAAAAATTGTTTGATTTTTTTAAAGCAATTAAATTGAATTTAAAATTCTAAAAGTTTTTAAAACTTAATATTAAGTTTTGTAATACCTTAAAAAATTAAGCAAAGATAATTTTTAATTTTTTTTTATTTTACCTTTTTTTAAATTGAAAGTTTCTAAAACTGGTTTTGATTTTAAAATTTAAATTAAAATTGGTTTTAAATTTTAAGAAAAAGATTTTTAAATAAAATTAAAAGATTCGCAGAATCAAAAATTCTCGAAAAAAAGTCCCAATTCAACAGCATATAAATGCGGCTATACGAGTAAGTAAACATTCACTCACGATGTGTTTGCTTTAAATATAAATTTCATGTCCAATAAATTGATATATATTCATTCAGTAATGATAACCACATAATTTGATTTATATACGATGATTTACATTATTTTCACTACTTTAATTCTGATATTTCATACCTCAACTATATTTATATATATTTATTTATTTACTTTATTAATATTTATTCATTTATATATATTCCTATATTTATACTTCTCACCTTATTTTCGATATTTTCATTTATTTTTCATATTTTTTTTAATGATAATTTTATTTATTTTCAGGAAGACATTTTTTCATGATTGTAAAAATCTTTTTTTTTTCATTTTTCGCGTTTTAATTTTCATTCGTTAATGATAAAGAATTTTATTTTTTAATTAACAGATGTTCAACGAAAAGGAATAAATTGTCGAAAAAATAATAAAAATGAATTTTCCAGGTGAAAAGTTTGAATGTTTGTGAAATTATTTTTGGGTTTGTTGGGGTGTGTGCGTTGTTGGATGGTAAAATTTAGAGGTTAGAAAATTTTAATTCGAAGTAAGAGCATCAAAGTTTTGGAGTTTAATGTAAATTTTGAGGATAAAATTTCAATTTTTGAGGATGGAATTCCACTTTTTGGTATTAGAATCCTAAATTCTAGGTTAAAGTTCTAATTTCAAGGTTAGAATTCTAGATTTGAGGTTAAAATTGAAATTTTTGAGGTTAGAATCCCAAATTCGAGGAAACAATCCCAACTTCGAGATTAGAATTCCAATTTTTTTGGTAAGAATCCCACAACTTAGGTTGGAAACCCAAATTCGAGGTTAGAATTAAAATTTTTGAGGTCAAAATCCAAAACTCAAGGTTAAAACTCCAATTTTTGAGATTGAAATTCCAAATTCAAGGTTAGAGTACAAATTTTGAGGTTAGAGTCCTAGATTTTAGGTTGGAATTAAAATTTTTGAGGTTAAAATCCTGAATTCGGGGTTGGAATTCCAATTTTTGTGATTAGAATTCAAATTTTTGAGGTTAGAATCTTGAATTCGAGGTAAAACCCCAAATTCGAGGTTAGATTCCAAATTATTGAGGTTAGAATCTTGAATTTGAGGTAAGATTGAGATTTTAATTTAAGCTTTCAACCTAAACCCTCCAAATTCAACCTTTATCCTTATATAATCACCAACTGCATGGAAAAGCACAAAATATTTTCTTCCTCATTTAATTTAGTTCCACATTAAGTCTCATTCAAAGCATAAATCATAGCGGCGACACATGTAGTTAATGTGTTAGTTCTGTCTTGTGTTTCCCTAAAGAAGAAAATTAACGACAACAACAAGAAACTTTTCCTTCGTGTTGCGTCTTAATTTGTGAATCTGGATTTTTTGTGGAGCTTTTGGAAAGCTATTAGGAAGAGGTTGTGTGGTTGTTGGGTTTAAGAATGGGTTATTAAGTGAAAATACAGGTGAATTGTAATGTATTTGAATGTTTCAACCTTTTTTGGTGAAATTTCGAGAAAATCTGAGATTTTCAATAACATAACCTTAAAATTTTCAAATTTAAGCTATCTTTTGCCCACAAGCTACAACTAATCATGTAATTTGACTCTTATTTGATGAATTATTATCAAATCTTCATTTTGAACCCCCTCAAACCCCATTTAACCCCCCTCAATCAACCAAACCCAGAAAAAAATTCAATTTTTCTTTCCATTCTGTCCTCAATTTTGCATAAACTACTCACAATAGATTGTGAAAAGTTGAAAAGAACTAAAACATTGTTGACATAAATATTCCGCATGTTTTCTGCTTTTGTTGAGAATAATTTTTATGTAATTAATTTTCTGTTCCTCCCTTTTGTATTCCTATTAATATTCCATGACATAAATAACTCATATCTCGAAATGAAATTGTGGAAATTTTTTTTTTCATTATTTTATTTGAATTCTTTTAATGCTCACATGTGGAATTTATGAAGGTTTTTTGTTTGAGAAACTCAAAAGAAAGGCATTTTTAATTAACTTGTGGGCAGTTTGTGAAATTTTATCAAATGGACATCAAAAGGCTTTTAGAAATTTTTATTAAAAATTATTATTGCTTGAATTGAGTGTTAAAAGTGGGTGTTGGGGCATGGGACGTAATTAAAAGTTAAGCCGTGCTCTCGCTGCGGTTTAAAACTATTGGGAGTGAGGTTCAGACCCTCCTGGCTACACAACTGGTAGGGGTAATAGAACAGAAAGTCGAAAGAATAAGTTCATAAATTTGAATTTTAAACTAGTTTATTTTAAAAAATATTATGCAGCATTGGCGCCATCCTTAAAGTATTACTGATATGTATTCTTACAGAAGACTTCGTTATTTAATTTTAATTTAATAAATTACTTAAAACGTTAAAACGAATGATAAAGTTTTGTACAAAAATCTGCGGACTTTAAAAAGTTAAAAAAAGAACCAAAAATTTCAAATATTTCAAAAAAGAACCAAAAACTTAGAAAAAGTTTCAAAGAAAAATAAAAAAATGTAAAAAAGATTCAAAATTCAATTCAATTGTTATTTTTTGTTTTATATTTTGATATTTTTGAATTATTTTGAAAAGTATTTGAAATTTTTGCTGTTTTTGTAAAGGGGCCGTTCAATTATGACGTCCTAAATTAACGGTCATTTTTCAAAAAAGAACTATGAATTTACAAGAATTTCTATTGTTCTTTTCTTGCTGACCCCGCCTCCTACCCCCCCCCCCCCTTCCCCTGGACGTTATAAGTGAAAGGTTGATTTTTAAAATTTTATTTTAATAATTTTCAAAAGTTAAAAAATTTAAAAAATTTCAAAAAAAATCAAGAAAATTCAAAAACTTTTAAAAATTGTAAAAAAAAGTAAAATAGTTCAAAAACTTCAAAAATAAAAAAAACCAAAAGTAAGATTTTAAATACATGAATTTAAAATTTTAAAAAGAAAAAAACAAAAAAGTGCAAGTCATCATGTATTAAAAATTATTCAGCTGCATTCGCCAAATTTACTATAAAAATTTATTTCACAATTTTTGGCTCACTTTTTTTTCATAAAAAACGATATGTTTTGTTGCGTCAATAAATTTTCACTTCCCATTAATTTCAATAACTTATTTCAATATATTTTTTAAAAATATTTATGTGTGTGAAATTCTGACTTTTGTGTGTTGTTGTTGTAGATTACTAAATATTGACAGAATATGTGTTTGTAGATTTATGTTAATGTGTCATTAGTTGAAAGTTATATTTGCTATTTTTTGGTATAAAACATAATTTTGTTGAACGAATTGAAAAGTTTTTTGAAAATCTCGTTACTAATCATTCCCGAGCGGCACATGTAGCAATATGACAAGCCATATGGAGCCGGTGATCAAATCGAATCCATTTTGTGTTAAAAAGTATATCACTCTGTGGCGAAACTTTGACGGAATATTTTTCAATTGTGCCGATCGGGATTTTGGTTTATTTTGTATAAAAATTGATGGGATTGACAGAAGTACAGCTTAAAATATTCGAAAATAGAAAAAGGGGGGGGGGGGGGAGGGGTATTCAAACCAAATGCAGTTGTTCAATCACTCGAGTCAGTTTGGGGGCCAGTATTTTAAATAAAATAATTTTATTTTGAATTTAAATTTTTATTTTGTTGAAATTTGGAACTGATCAGACCCCCCCCCCCCCCACCCTCCACCCCTCTCCGCGTCTCCTTTTCATATGCTTTCAATCTGTCTGCTTTGTTGGACTCAAGTTTCGATAGATTTTACCTAAATTTAATAGATTTAATGGAAAACTTAACAATTTTGAGGTTAAATTCTACATTTTTTTAATTTTTCGATTCAAAATTTACAAAAACCAACCCCAAAAACTTCAATATTCTCCACCATTCCCCATAAATTGATGTAAAATCTCTCAGGATCCCTCAAATCACATTCAACAAATCCAACAAAATTTCTGTCAATGCTAATTGCGTAACATATTGCTATGAGATAATATATAGAAAGTTATACTAAATTAATAAATATGCTAATTCATTACATAGAAAAATGTGTCGTTTTAATGACTAAATAGAGTAGATATAGAAAATACATTCGAGTAAAGTTAGTCAGGACTTATTTTTTTGTGTCTGAATTTCAAATATGTTAATGGGTTTCTGAGTAGTTCTGAGTATTAATTTAAATGATAATTGTTTTGATTAATTGAAAATTAAATAAAATTCATTTCTCGTGTTTTTAATTCAATGAAAAAAATTTAAAATCATATTTAATTAAATTTTCGAGAAAAATAAGTTTAAATTGAATAAAAATCCTTAATTTAACATTTTTTAACCTCAATAAACCTCGTCACACCGTCAATTGAGTTTAATTTTAACATCGTCAACTCACTTGACAACTGATAAAGCTGCCATTAATCTTGTTAAATTGCAACATTGAGAAGCTTTTATGGACATAATCGGAGATGTGTGTCAGTATTTTTGGTATAAAAAAATATGGAAAATGTTTCAAGCATTTTTGAGGTGTTTTTTGGAGGGTTTTTATTGGCGTTGCCTTAATTGATGCCAGGGGGACAACAACTTCATGAGAAATATTTTTAGGTAACATTTTTACCTCATATTTTCTTAATTTGACTTTATTTTGTCAATATTTTGTATTAAATGTTGTAAAATTAGATTAAATTGAACCAATCCCTCCCACAAACCTGTTATCCCCCTGGTTGTCAATCAGGGGGCACCAAGCTACTAATCATTAGAATCTAGAGTTCTTTTGAGGACCCTTTAAAGGATTCCAGGGTTGTAGGACCAAACTTTAACCTCCAAACCCATCAAAACCTTCCAAAACTAACCTCAAAATACCTCAAATATCTAAAAAAATCTTTAAATTAAATTCTGATTTCACTTTCACATCGCATTTAAATTATTAACAAATCCTACGATATCCCTATGATAATATAGTCTGCGGATACAATAATGACTATATTTATATATGCGCGTATGATGCATGCCATATCCCTAACCATAATAATAACTTCACTCACACACACACAAGCTCACACATACACCCACAAAAAATTTCTATTTCTTCATCTAAATGATCCCGAAACTGAAAATCCAAGCGATATTGAACGTCACGTTCTAGACGACGACAACATTTGATGTGATAGTTCCATTGTGCAGCATATGAATGTGGCGATGATGAGGAGTAGTAAATTGACATGTTTTGCTGAGCCAGCACCATTTAGATCGGGCCATATAACTTGCACCTCAGCCATCTTAAAAATGCTTAGTAAGCGGTGGGCCGTAAGCTCATCATATTCTGTATTTATTTGATGACTTACTGTCTCTAGTATTGATGTGCAGAATTGCTGTTGGACGAGAATTGAGAAAAAAAAAAGAATGAGAGATAAATTATTAAAAGGATGAAAAAAAATATGAAGAAAAGATTGAAGGATTTTATTTGGGAAATTATGACAATGTGGAGGCGGGCAAGTAAGAAAGTCACTTTGCTTTATGAAAAATCAGAGCGCATTTATTATTTTTATTTCGGAGTTATTGTTTAAAATTTTTCAGCATATTAATATCCAGGAGTTCTAAACCTATGAACTTAGTAATTCCAGGAGTTCTAAACCTTTGAACTTAGTAATTCCAGGAGTTCTTAACCTTTAAACTTAGTAATTACTGTCTATTGCTTCAAAATGAGTATGTTCAGGGGTTCCGACTATTCAAAAAGTCAATAACCAGGGGTTTTGAATTTTCAATCTTGAAAGTGAGGTTACAGAGCTTTTGAGTACCGTAATCCAGAAGTTGCGAAGCTTTATTCTTGATACTAAGGATCCAGAGCTTCAAAATGTCAATATCCAAAGGTTCTGAATTCAAAATTGAGGTTATGGTGATTTCAAATATCTAAATTCAGGGTTTTCAAACATTTAAACGAGATAAAGAGGTTTCAGGGCTTCAAAATATTTAAATCCAGGAGTTGTAAACCTGTAAACTATATATTGAGGTTTGAGAAAGATAAGAGCCTAGAATTCAGCAAGTTAAAATCCTCTAGATTGATAATTCAACCCAAACCAAAGACAATCTGAACAGATACCCTAAAACAATTCAAGCTAACCCAATAATATCCGCACATAATATTTTCGTAAACGACGACATTATTGACAAAAAAAAAAAAAAATGGAAAAATAAATAATAAAAATTCATGAATCTTAATCGATTTGGAGCCAAAAAACATTCGATTTATTACATGACATGAATTCATAATAAATAAAATAAAAAAAAAATTGGACTATATGTTTACCTTCTCCCGCTTCAGCATATCAATGGTGGTGAATTTTTGGTCATATGGCAACCGTACGGACAGAATTATATTCTCATCGGTGATGTTGAACAGTGAAAGCGTGCATTGAGTCTGTTGGAATGATGAAAAATAATTGGAATTAATTTTAATAATTTTTTTTTTAATTTTGAGGTTATATTTACATGATTATTGATGTGCAGCACAATATATTGCTGTAATGCCCTAACAGCATCCTGTACACCTAGATTCGTGTGTGGCCTCAAAAGTGCCTCATCAGTTGAGCTGTAACCTAACAATAAAAATACGCCGCCTGGAAGCTTATAGTCACCAGGTGGAGGACGCATGCAGATAAATCGTCCCGAGTAACATAGACATCGTCCTCGGAAGGCTTGATATGCTGGTGATGTGTGGCTGTAGAATGCTGTAAATGTGGAATTTTTGAGGTTATGAGATAGAATTTTGAGGTTAGAATTTCGATGTTTGATAATTTTGAGGTTAAAATCCCAAATTGTGATAATTTTGAGGTTATAATCCCAAATTATGACGATTTTGAGGTTAGAATTCCAAATTGTGACAATTTTGAGGTTAGAATCCCAAATTATGACGATTTTCAGGTTAGAATTCCAAATTGTGACAATTTTGAGGTCAGAATCCCAAACAATGACGGTTGTGAGGTTAGAATCCCAAATTGTGACAATTTTGAGGTTTGAATCCCAAATTGTGGCAATTTTGAAGTTAGAATCCCAAATTGTGATAATTTTGAGGTTAGAATCCCAAATTATTACGATTTTGAGGTTAGAATTCCAAATTGTGACAATTTTGAGGTTAGAATCCCAAATTATGACGATTTTGAGGTTAGAATTTCAAATTGTGACAGTTTTGAGGTTAGAATCCCAAATTGTGATAATTTTGAGGTTAGAATCAAAAACAATGACGGTTGTGAGGTTATAATCCCAAATTGTATCAATTTTGAGGTTAGAATCCGAAATTTCATAATTTTTGGAGGTTAAGTAAACATTTTGAGCTTTATCCAACATTTTCAAAGCTATGAAACCCAATACTCACCCAATGACGTCCTACACGGCACCAATGGCACACAAAGTGCATGACATGACAACGCCAGTGACTCAACGCTACACGAACATAACTCACTGCACTCCGCATCATCCATAATGTAAAGCTGAACACGAAAAATGTAAAAAATTAATTCAAATATTTTTCAAAAATTTATTTGCAGCACTTACCCGCTTGCTCTGTCCTTCAGGAATAAATTGTTCTGGAGTATGAGGCCGTTGTACGACACAATATCCTTTCGAAAATAATTATAGAGAGAATAAATGAAAATTACATGATCAATAATTGGGTTTGTAATTACAGATCTGTCTAAAGATACGTGTGGAAAGGACTCGAGAAGTGTAGAAGTGGAGTTTTAGTTGTAATAATTAAAGCAAGTGACAGGAAAAGAGCATTCAGGGGGTAATTTAATTACAAAAGTGTCATTTAAGCAAGCAATTTTGTAGCTGCTAATTAAATTAGACTAAATTGATGGGATTTTGTTGAAAATTGAAATTCTGGTTTTTTTAAAAGTCGATAATTAGATAAAATCACATGTAATTATAACAGAGTCCTGTCAATATCGAGGTAGAGCATGAATATATAATGAACTCACTCAACGGAATCGTCGTCGTCTCAACTGTTGTTGTCATTGGGGCTATAGTAGCGACTTCCATTCCTAGCATCTCGGTTGTGATGCCATAAAATTCCTCATTTTTATTGTCATCGATGAAGTTCTCGTCCACAACTTCCTCGCCTTCAATGTAGTTGTTGTCAAAGTCCTCGTTCGATACTGGACGATGATAGATCTGTAATTGTTCAATGTTATTAGGATGTTGAGGTTAAATCACATGATTTTGAGGTCAAGTCCCAAGATTTTGAGGTTAAGTCTTAAGATTATGATATTAAGTCACGAAACTTTGGTGAGGTTAAGTTAAACAATTTTGAGGTTAAGTCACTCAAATTTGAGGTTAAGTCTCATGATTTGTGGTTAAGTCCTAAGATTTTGAGGTTAATTCACGAAATTTTGAAGGTTAAGTTCCAAAAATTTCAGGTTAAGTCACTTAAATTTGAGGTTAAGTCTCAAGATTTTGAGGTTAAGTCTCAAGATTTTGAGGTTAAGAAGTCTCAAGATTTTGAGGTTAAATCTCAAAACTTCAGAGGCTAAGTTCCAAAAATTTTAGGTTAAGTCTCAAAGTTTTGAGGTTATGTCTCTGAATGTTTAAGATTAAGTCACAAAGTTTTGAGGTTAGGTAAACTTACAATCTCCGGCGGAGGAGTTTGTGGCACAGAAGTTTGCAGTCTTTCTCTAAATGTAATACGAATAGGTGCGGGTGTTGTTGTGGTTGTTGTTGATGTTGTTGAAGTTGTTGTGGTCGTTGTTCGTTGTGTGGTTGTTGTTGTTGTCGTAATTAATAATCCTAATTCAGCCAATCGCTTCATATGAAAGTCTTTTTGAACCTCAACTGTGAATGAGAATGAAATTAGACTTCAAAATCTCATCAAATTAGTCAGGACATCTTACCAACACATGGATTGAGCCATAACAGTCGCTGCCATCCTAAACATTCATACAATTGCTGAAGATCACTTCCTTGACAGGCACAAAGTGACCTTAATGGTGTTCCCATGATGCCTAGCAGTGCTATTCGACAATTACTCATTTTCCCTGCACATTTCTTTGTCACACTATCGACTGCACATGACTGCTCGAAAAATTCTAGCCTCGACCTACATTAGATACCAAATTATCATCAAAATCATATATAAGACTTCAAGAAGCTTCCATACCTGCAATCTGGATCTTCTTTACACAAATCCGCAAGCGTATGACAAGCAGGCAGCATATTATAAGCACCATTAGTAGTTGCTACCGTACTCGACCCATCCGGCGGTCGTTGAGCACAAAGTGGATGAAGTTTCTCCTTAGCCAACATGCACGAGTCATGACGCGACGATGTCTTTCGACAAAGGCACAGTGCTGCGTCCAGACTCAAGTCTTCATGTGAATTATCACGATAAAATGTTTGTAGTGACTCCATGCATGCTGGCTTATTACAGCGATCAATGTCGCAATGATGAATAACAGTTTGGAGGGACGTTGAGCATGAAGATTCGTCGCGGCATGCGTCTAGCGCTATGTGGCAGGTACTCTGTAGGGAATGAGATGATTTTTGAGGTTATGTTATGATTCTTTGAGGTTATGTTGAGAAATTTTGGGATTAATTAAGGAATTTTTGAGGTTAGTTTTGTATTTTGGGGGTGGACTAGGAATCTAAGGTTAGGTGAGGAATTCGAGGTTTTTAGGAATTTTGAGGTTAGGTTAGGGTTTTCAGGTTAAGTAGAGCAATTTTTGGACTTTTTGCAATGAGTTTAAAGATTATATTGCTAAGTTTAAGGTTAAAATAGATAATTTTGAGGTTATGCTGCTGAATTTTGAGGTTAGGTACTTAAATTTTGAGGTTATGAAATGAAATTTACCTGGAAATGTATTGGATGGGACTCATCAGTCTCAATATCGTCGGAATCTGGAATGTTAACATCAAAATTGAAATAGTTTAATTAGCTTCGTCAATAATAAATATATGAAGATGTATTTTACTAGTTTAGACAACAACATGCTACATTTTTGTGGTTTGGGGGTTCAAATGCCTTGAAAATGAACGATTTATCCATTTGAACCTCCAAAGAACTTCTTGTTCATGAGTGAATCAAGCATCAAATATCATTTTTACACTCATAAACATAAAATAAGAAAGAAAATTGGAAAACGTTAAAGAAAAATTAAACAAAACTCAGCAAATTTTGTCATTTAAAAGTTCTAAAGTAAAATTCTTCAACTACTTAATGACAAAAAGTGCTTAAAAAAGTCGGAAAAATTAACAATTATTTTTAGAAAAATTCATTTTTAGGTTAACTTGACATTAAGTTAGTCAAATAAGAAGAATAAGATCAATAACAGTCAATAAAGAAGATGTTAAGCTAGTCACAAGTAGCTACATCAAGAAAAAAAAGAATTAAAAGTGCATGCAAAAAATCCACAAAATCCTTAATGGAATGTCAGACACTTCCAAGTTGACAAACCCCCAAGACCATTTAAAGACTAAAAATCGCCATCAATTTCCTTCATTCTATTTCTATTTATGTGTGTCACGTTAATTGTCCGACACGTTTAGAAAAAAAAGTTGAACAACGAAAGAACTTTTTCTTTATTTTTATTTTTACTTATTTTTTTTGGAACAAGAAACGAAAATAGCCGGAAATGTTTGCAAAAAAGACATTAATCTTTGTTATGTCATTGATACTTTTATGCAACTTTTCCTTATGCTGGCTTTTCATGCCATTTTTATGTCTCTCTGATTTTAGATGTGAGTGTATGTTTGTGGATGTGGGTGAGTGTGAGTGATTTGTAGCTGTTGTGTTGTGATTTTTGTGTGTGTGTTTGTGAATAAACCAAAATGTAAGGTTGGATTGCAGCTATTTATAAAGCATGCAAAACTTTGAATTATTTACACAAAAATTTGAATTTTCAAAACCCGTTACAAATTTGAAATTTTTCAAAAAAAACCGTTAAAAAATTAAATTTTCCAAAAATCATTTTGTTTGAAGTTTTTGATTTTTAAGCCTTGTCCCTAATATCTTAGGTTCTATAGTCAAATGCAAACAGTAGATCTAGACAATCCGATAACATACTATAAATTGCTTAAAAACAATTTTTTTAAATTCAAACTTCAAAAGTTTCCTGTTTAGGACAGCAAAAGGAAGAAAAAAACGAGCTCAATTCTTTTAATTAATTTTGAAAATTTATTGCCGACGGCTTGTAACATTTTGCTGTTGTTTGCTTCCATTTTACACAACTAACCTGAAACAAAAAGCAACAAAAAATGGAAGCACAAATTTCTATGAAAGCCAATACACGCAAATGATAAATGGTTTCATCCTCCTGGATCAAGTCTAATCACTCAATCAAATTGGCTTTTATCTTTCCTCACATTTGCCACGTCTTTTTTTGCTGCTCTTGTTCGTGATTTGCATTGTGTTTGGTTATTGAATCTCTTCGATATCTTCATCTGAATTTCTTTTTGTTGTAGTTTTATTGATTGATATTTTGAGATTTTGTCAATATTTTGGGGGAGACTTTACTGTTTTCCCAAAATATGGCGCATGAGGCTCAATATTGTCAATTTTAGAGAGAAACTTTGCAGTCTATGAATATGTGGAAAAAAATTCAAATTTGTCAATATTCTGGGGGAGACTTTACTGTTTTCCTAAAATATGACGCACGAGGCTCAATATTATCAATTTTTGGGAGAAATTTTGCAGTCTATGAATATATGGAGAAACATTTCAAAATTTGTCAATATTTTTGGGAAGACTTTACTGTTTTCCCAAAATATGGCGCACGAGGCTCAATATTGTCAATTTTAGATAGAAACTTTGCAGTCTATGAATATGTGGAAAAAAAATTCAAATTTGTCAACATTCGGGGAGAGACTTAACTGTTTTCCTAAAATATGACGCATGAGGCTCAATATTGTCAATTTTAGGGAGAAACTTTGCAGTCTATGAATATATGGAGAAAGATTTCAAATTTGTCAATATTTTTGGGGAGACTTTACTGTTTTACAACCCAAAACACATCAAATCTCCACAACATCACCAACAATCGACTCAAAATCATTACAAAAATGTGCTGGTAACTGGTAAGTTCTGCCACTTCATGCTGATGAAAAGCAAGAAAAAACTTTTTTTGTTATCTTCATCTTCTGTTTTTTAAAGGAGCATAAAGGAGCTCCAGAAAATGGCGAGGAAGCGTTAAAAATGAAGATGTTTGTTCCACATTTTCTGCAGATGATTGTGCATTGTTACTTTTCATTATTCATTGTTATTATTATCATAAAGGAACAAAAGTAGAAAAGGAACGAGAAGATGAAACTTGTGGATGTGAAAAGGCAGCGTGGAACAAAAGGTAAGAAGAAGAAAAATGAAGATGAAGTCAAAAGGGTTGATTGAAAGAGATGTGGTGAGTTGAGATAGATTGGATGGGATGTGTGTGAAGAAGATGTTATTGGAGTTGGTCTTGATGTTGAGGAGAATTTTTAGTAAATTAAGTCGAACTTCTAACGGGCTTTTTAAGATTTAAAATTTTTAACGGTTTTTAAAAATTCAAAATTTTAAACTCGTTTTAAAAATTTAAATATTTTTTCGGGGTTTAAAAATTCAAAAAATTTGACGGTTTTTCAAAATTCTAATTTTTACCGGTTTTTAAAAATTCAAAATTTTAAACTCGTTTTAAAAATTTAAATATTTTTTCGGGGTTTAAAAATTCAAAAAATTTGACGGTTTTTCAAAATTCTAATTTTTAACGGTTTTTAAAAATTCAAAATTTTAAACTGGTTTTAAAAATTTAAATATTTTTTTGGGGTTTAAAATTTCAAAAAATTTGACGGTTTTTCAAAATTCAAATTTTTAACGGTTTTTCAAAATTCAAAATTTTAACGATTTTTCAAATTTTGAATGTTTTATCGGTTTTTTGAAATTCAAATTTTTTAAACTGCTTTTTCAAATTTTTATTTAAAAAAAGAATCAAAAATGTAAATTTTTCATACTTTTCAAAACAAAATCAAAAATCCAGGTCATCAAAAAGCAACAATCGTAATCCATCATCTGTCATTAGACTTCCTCAATAAGCCTTTATATCCATTCATTAAATCCACAATCATCCATTCATCAAAGCTTCCGAATCCGAAGTTACAAAACTATCAAATAAAAGAACTTTTTGTTCTCATTTTCAACCTGGCAAATTAAATTCATTCATCAAACTTTTTCCCTTTTCTCCCATTTTTTAATTCCGAATCATCCACAATGGATTGAAAAAAAAAGAGAAATATTCAATGCAGTAGCTTCCTACCTTTTATTTTCTATTCATAGAATTTAAATTGTAATAAAACGAAATCATACAAATGTATCAACACAGCGAGCGAAACTGCAACATTTCAATTCAACTTTGGATTTATTTTTTTAATTTTGAAATCCAAGCCACAAAAAAACTTTTTTTTGTTGTTTTGTAAAAAATGGAGAAAAGAAAAAAATTGAATTAGGTTCATCGTAAAATGCATGCAAATGAAACAAAAAATTAGAAAAATAAAATTGTGGGAAGCAAAAATAAAACACAAACAGGAAAATTTGCAAAAAAAATGAGAAATAACTTTTTTGACAAGGGTTGGTAACTTGAACTTTTTTGTTTTCTAGCAAAAAATTTATATTTTTGGGATTGTGCAGCATAACTGGGAGGAGACTTTAATGTTTTATCCAAAATATGGCGCACAAGATTTTTTTTTGAAGATTTTGAGATTTTTGGAACTATTAAGATAAGTGGGTATAGAATTAGTCAAAGGCGTAGCAAAGTATGTAACCAGGTCCTTGATTGGTGGCTAGCCAATCTTTGGCATGACTTTCCTCCAAGAATGAGTATTTTTTTAATTTATTTGAAGTTCACAAAGCGCAAAAATTGAATGTAAAAGGCTGGAAATCCCTCAATAGAAAGAAATGGCACCAAATTAGACATCAACAATCCAAATCAAGCTTCTATAAGTTACCAACCCTTGCAAAATCCTCGTTTTGCTTACCAAATCTGGGTCACAAAACTTAAAAAATTGACAATAAAAACAAACTTTTGTTTTATTTGATGCAAAAGAGTCAAAATGAAATAAAAAGTGATATTTATAGCAGGAAGTGCCAAACAAACATCAAAGTATCATAAAAATTCAATTTTCTGAGTGCCATAAGAAAAAAAAAATGATTTTTTTAAAATTGAAAAAAGAAAAAAATGATTTCTTAAAATTGAAAGAAAAGAAAAATGGTGAAATTTGACAAATTAATTAAGAATAAATCTAGCAAAACAAAGGATTTTAGCAAGAAAATTAATTGAAAATCAAAAAAATTGAAGAAAACTTGACAAAAAAATAAATAAAATTGATAAGTCAGAAAAATGAAAGAAATCAAATTAAATCAAAAATCTGCATGAACATTTTTGAGAGTCAATCCATTTTCTAGACAGTCTATATGGAAATATAACCAGGAAATGAGAAGCAAAACTCATCTCAAAAGACTCAATTTCGCTTCAATATCCCGAAAAAATCACAAAAATTCAGCTGCAATTTCTTCTCATTGCTTTTCTGCTAAAACTTATCAATTTCTATGTGTTTATAAAATCTGTACATAGTGTCGTGTATTTGTGTATATTAAGTGTAAAGAGAGACAGTTCCACTAGTGCATCAGTTCTCACTACACATTTGCATTTTCAAAACAATTTTTTTTTGTTGATTTTTGTACACATCCAGTTACTTATTTGTTGTCATTGAGTAAAGCAAAAGAAAGAAAAACACAATCAAAGCGATTTCAAATTTTGATAAATTTTGATGAACTTTGAATAATTTTTTTTGGCGCGGTTTTCTCGTTTTTGTGGAGGATTTGGGTCCTCAAGTGATGTTCAGAACGATTATCGAGGGATGCATCAAACTGAAAATCATTCTATTCATCACTTGATGCCTAAATCTTCTCTTTTAGCTGCAAATTTCAGAGAATATCATTTTTGAGAGAAGCAAAATAAAAGAAAAAAATTTCAAATAATAAAAAAAATAAAGTTTCAGTTTCACGCCTTGCGGATTAAAAATCATAAATGTCGTACTGTGTCAAACGGCCACAACAGAATGTTAATCGAATGTTATTTTAGAGCCTGCAATGAAGCTCAATTTCTAATCTTTATTCGCAGTTCGATAGCTTTGTGAAACAATGCCAAATCACTTCTACCAGCCATGTCCAGTAAAAGTTATGTTGCACTGCTTGGTTTGTTGATTTTTGGGTTTGGTCGGGAGAGGAAGGGGGGGGGGGGGGGGTAGGATTGGATTAATTTATAGGAATCCTAGCAAAATGAAGAAATTATTGTTTCTTGGCTACACACCTGATTCTTTTCACTCTTAACTAAGTCCTCATTAAAGTGTGTACGTTTGACAACAAGTACCAACGTTAACAAATAATCTACAAACTAAAATAACAGTTTAAAAATAAAAAAAAAACAATAAATTAGAAAATAAACTATTTTGAACTTTTAAGCTTCTTTCTCGATAGAATCACATTAATCTTATTTTTCGACGTTTGTGGTTAACAGCCCCTCTTCATTTACGTTGAAATATTGCCTATCTAAGCGACACAAGACTATATGACAGTGGTGACCAACCTTTTTTATGTCATGGCCCACCTTGACATATGATTAAGCCACGTGCAAAGCCAGTGTTTCTCAAACTTTTTGGTCCGCAATGCAGTATCTTTCATCTGTTTATGCTTCCTTGCCACGCTGTCTCAGCTAAAATTGTTTTCACGGAACAGTAAAGGGGCTGTTCACTTATTACGTAACGCGAAAAAATGACTTCTTAGACCCCCCCCCCCCCCCCCCCTCGTAACAAAATTTGTATGAAAAAAAAATTTCCTTGTTTGAACCGCAACAAAATCTTAGATCCCCCTCCCCCTAAAAGCGTTACGTAATAAGTGAATGGCCCCAAAGCTCCACGGAGCAAATTTTGAGAAACACTGTGATAAGCTTTTACCGAAACCGTACCCAGCACACGGTTTTTGTGGGATTTTTCGAATTTTTTGCACTAGTGTGTCGCGGTACATAGGTTGGCAAACACTGCACTACCAGAAAGCTATTTAGAAGGGGTGTTTTGGTCGTCGCTCGGGCTTTAATCAAGTCTGAAACCAGTTCAGTGTCGGCTTAGCAACTGATTCAAGCTGAAACAGTGCCACAAAGCCTTATATTCAGTAATATTGAACCCCAAATTTGTTTTTTTATTAACAATATATCATAGATAGTAAGCTAGATTAGAGTTCTTTTATAGAGACACATCTACAGAGTATGACAATATATTTATGTATAGTTATAATACTAGATTAGACACTGACTATATGTATATATGCAATAGAGATATAAAATAATAATAGGACAACATATTCTACCTTACAAGACTATAGATTTTTTTCACTTGACTTTAAGTATTTATCTTTTTTTTTTACTTATCCATTCAATTACAGTCATTAATACCTACTTTTTTCATAACTGCTGATTCCATTTCCATTTCCATGCTCATCATCAATGTTATAAGAATATCCAGCACCTCCACTCGCCGTTGTTATATTGTATGGATATAAAGCTGTTTTAAAATGCTGACGAACATGCGAGTTTAGTGGACCGACGAGCGGTGTTTCAATCATTGCCGCATTATCATCCAATATACGATGGTGATAGTTTTCATCCAAACCCATTGCTCGGACTGCAATGAAGGATTTTTTTTTTCAAGTTTTGGTTTTTTTTGTGGATCTTTTAAGACTTAAACTACAATTTTTTTTTTTGTATTTTTGTGACTACGACTTGGATTTGATTTGTTTTTTGGAAATAAAAATAATAATATTTTGTTCTATAACTACGGACGGGGGTTTTATTGCTTGTTGCACCAAAAGCATTTTTAATTATTTTGTGAGATTTATGTACAAGATGAGAGTGACGATTTGACTTAGAGTCGACACAATGGTGAGGTTCTTGTGGAATGTTGTTCAATTATTGGAGGTTTAGGATGAATTTTGAGGTTAGATCAGCGATAGTTAACCCTTGTGCTGCGGCACACAAGTAAGAATATTTTGAAGACACCACCAACCACGCGCTGTGTGCTGTTCATGTCCTACTATCAAGATGTGCTTTGCCACACAAAAGGTTGCTCACGACTAGGTAAGATGTTCGGGATTGAAACAACTTAATGGATTACTTAGACTAGATTCTCAATATAGAACTATACCTTTGGCACTCTACTATCAGTGGTGACCAACCTTTTTACGTCACAGCACACCTAAGTGTTAGCTTATGACCAAAACCGCACACGACATACGGTTCGTGGGGTTTCTCGAAGTTTTCTTGACACACTATTGTGCCGCAGCACATGAGCTGGCCATCACTGGTCTACATACAAAGAATGCATATTTTGTGGCAGTGTTTCTCAAACATTTTAGGCCGCAAAGCAGTTAAGGAGCAGTTGACCATTCTATTATGCTTCTGCGCCACGCTAGCAACCACTATTGACACATCAAGAATTTTTTTCGCAAAACAGCAAAGCTCCGCAGAGCAGAGTTTGAGAAACACTGTTCTATTGTATTCCACACTCGACTAAGATCCTGATAACAAGGATGTGTTCCCACCAACATGAATTAGAACCTGATTCTTTTTTAAAGCAAATTATTCCACATTTTGCCAACTTCCAAACGCAAGTTTGTCTGTGAACCCAAACTAGTAAGCAGAAGAGAAGAAATTTAAAACAAAACTGAAACATAACCTCAAATAAAAATAATATTAAACCAAAAAAAATGATAAAATCAGCATCAAGGAGGAAATTCGAAGGATTTCAAACGGAAGGACAAAACATTTTTTTATTCTACATAGTAAGCGGTTCCAATAATCATCAAATTGTTTTTATTTCATCTGAAATTATTTTTAAGCACGAAATTTTTGTTTTGTTCCAATTTGAAGCATTTTTTCTTTCTTTTGCGTTATTTTTTTGTTCATGTCATTTTTTTATTCTTTTGTGCAAATAAATGTAAAATTTTCTATTTTTAAGAATTGAAAAAAATAAATATAAAATTGATTGTGAGGACCTCGCAGACACCCTCAAATGTTAATGAATATTTTAACCCACGTGGGTTAATTTATTGTATTTTAAATAAATTGAAATTTTCCCACACAAATTTCAGAATTTTTTTTATTTTTCTAACCTACAAAAAAAATTAAAATTCAGTCGAAAAGAAAATTAAATGTCAACAAATTAAATTGTGAATTTTCTTCAATGAATATTTGAATTTAAATTGTTTTTTGACATTTATTTTAGATCAAATTAATTTAATCAATGGTATTTTAAGGTTATGTAGGTTGCAATGATAAACTGAGAATTTAGTAAAAGATATTTGAGCATTATTAAAATTGAAGAAAAACTTTTTAAATTGAAAAAGATTTTTTAAGTCTGAATTTAAAATATTATTAAATTTTCTTTAAAAAAGTAAAATTTTAAAAAATTATACAAAATTCAAAATTTAAAAATTTAAATTCTTTGACATTCAAAAGTTCTGACAAAGTTTAGGAATAATTTTTAAAAATTTTGAATACATTTTTAAAATAAATTATAAAATATTTGAAATTTATAAATTAATTTTAAAAATTATAAGTACTTGGAAATATTTTAATAAACTTCAAATAGTTTTAGAAAAGGTTTAAACGATTTAAAAAATTCAAATGATTTTCAAAAAACAGATTTCAAAATTTTTAAAAACATTTTATCAACTTTTAATAGATTTTAGAATTCTTTTAAAACTTATAAATATTTTAAAAACCTTAAAAAATAAAAATATTTTAAAAATCTTAAACTTAATGTTTGAAATTTCGAATAAAAGTTAAATCAAATTCTTAATTTCAAAAATAAAAAAAAATCAAGGAAGAAAAATTTTAAATCATCAAATTTAAATTTTCTTCAATAAATTCCTCCCCAAAATTTCACCAAATAATCATCAAATGTCATCAACTAATCCTCTTAAACAATCTAATTGACTTGTTACTAACAGCAATTTTCACTCTCATTGTCGCATTAACAAAATATTTTGCATAATTTTCCATTCAATTTTCATTCCATAATGATTGATTAGTCGTCTAAAATTGCAATTTTCATGTCCAAAATGTGTTGCAACAATGAAATTTAATGAGGATCAAAATTATTTATGGAATTATTAATTATTCATAATTGAAAGAGCTTCTGATGAACGGAAATTACAAGCTACAGGAAGTGATTATGGACAATTTAATTGAGGAATTCTGAATGCAACTGAGTAATTTGTTATTAAGTTTGCAATTTGTTGGTGTTGAAAATTTAATTTTTGGGGGAATTATTGAACTGAATTGCTCTGGGAAGCTTAATTAAGATGCAATTGGAATCTGTGACTTTATTAGCTATGGCAAGGGAGTGATTAGATATTGTTGAACTAGTTTCTCCTTTGATGGGTTGTGTGGATGACTTGACTAAGCTAATGAGCCATGTTAAGTCTTCAAAGACCTAGGTTTAAGGAGAAAAATCAGTTCCAAAGCCACCCACATCCCCACTGCTGTGAAGGAACTTTAAAAACCCCAAAAAGGATGTCTTTAATATTATTTTAAATTTCACATTTTTTTATTGCATGTCATAAATATTTTCAAGATCATAAAAAGTTAAATTATTATCAAATGTTATTGTTTCCTATTGCCTGAGTTTAAATGTATAAAAATGAAATGATAAAAGACAAAACACACGCTGGGAAAAAAGGAAAAACTTAAAAAATAAAAAGAAAGAAAAATTGTTAAATGGTTTGTGAAAAATGGAGCAAAAAAGTGAGCGGAATTTGTTTTTATTTCAGTAGTTTTTTTTGTGTGACAAAATTGAAATAATTTATTGAAATTTATATTTAAAAATATATTTAAAGGCATTAATAAAAAATAAGAACCCCCCTTGCCCCCCCCCCCCTTCCCCTTTTCATAAAATCATTGTTCAGCATGGAAAAACCCTCAACTTTGACATCAATTTGAAGATTATCAAATAAACCAGCTCAGTTGCCACTTTGCAGACTAACCAAAACTCTACAGGCCGGTAATCGACCAACAAAAACAACATTTCGCTCCTTTTAAGTCTCAAGTGAATGAAAAACAGAAAATGAAAAACAAACAATATTTTTTCTTTCACAAATTTGTGCTCTTTGTGCTTCTTGGTGGTGCTGTTAATGCCTTTTGTGGTACAAAGAATTGTGCAATAAACAATTAAAACATAGTAAGTGGATTTACTTTAGTGCTGTGCTCGAATATAAACGGTTAAAATGCTTTTTGGTGCTGTCAAAACATTTAATTTTTGTGTAAAAAATAAAAGAAGCTTTGAGAATTTTTTTTGGTTCTTATAACAACATTGCATATGGAAAATTAAATCTAAAATGGTAAATGAAAGTAGTCAGCCGAAAAAAATTGTTCTCAAAGCTTCCAACATTTTAGTGCAATTTTAGGTGCCAATTGAAAAATAAAACATAATTTTTTTAACCTCGTTGGTGAATTTAATTATTTTAATGAGAAAAATTTCATGAATTTTTGGATCACATGGATTTTGATACCTTAATAAATTTATTTAGGATTTGGTAAGACAAAAAATTCATTTAAATTTTCTTAATAAAGTTGTTTATAGTGTTGGAAATATTTCTTTATAACAATTTTGGGGTTCAGGTGCCTTCACCCTAGAGGTTTTATCGTAAAGTGCTTTTAGACTTAAGTTCTAGAGTTCAGACGCCTTCAGAATTGAGTTCTAATGTTTAGGTGCCTTCACAATAGAACTACTAGGTTCAGGTGCCTTAATACTAGATTTTTAAAGTTCAGGTGCCTCCACACTTGAATTCTAAGGTTAAGGTGCCGTCATACTTGAATTCTAAGGTTAAGATGCCTTCACACTTGAGTTTTTATGTTCAGGTGCCTTCACCACAGAGCTACTATGTTCAGATGCCTTAAAACTAGAGTTCTAAAAATGAGGTGCCTTCACACAAGAGTTTTTAATGCTAAGGCGCCTTCACACATGAGTTCTAAGGTTAACGTGTCTTCACACTTGAGTTCTTATCTTCAGGTGCCTTCACCACAGAGCTACTATGTTCAGATGCCTTAAAACTAGAGTTCTAAAAATGAGGTGCCTTCACACAAGAGTTTTTAATGCTAAGGCGCCTTCACACATGAGTTCTAAGGTTAAGGTTCTTTCACATTTGAGTTCTTAAGTTCAGGTGCCTTCACACTAGAGTGTCTAATGCTTATGATCTTTTAAATTAGAGGTCTAAAGTTAAGGTGCCTTCACACTTAAGTTCTAAGGTTAAATTTCCTTCACACAAGCGCTACTAGGGTCAAGTTCCTTTGAAATAGAGTTACCAGGTTGTGGTGCCTTAACACTAGAGTTCTAATGTTTAAGTGCCTTCACACTAGATCTCAATCTACGAAACACTCAAAAATTAGTCATAAAGAAATTTTTCCTATAAATTCCTGCAAAAAAATTGTGCAACAATTAAAAATAAAAAGTGAAAAAGTGAATCTCACCAACATCATAGATCTGCTTCTGCAATTGTCGTTGCAAGTGCATCAATCCATTAGTGAGATTAGCCATAGGTTTATGACTAACACTACTAAAATTATCATTGTGCTGAAATGTGTGCAAAATCCTATTAAAGTGCTTAACATTCTCATTCTCATCCAAATCATCATAATTATTGTCATTATTATTGTTATTATTATTATTGTAACTATAATTATAATTTGTGCGATGGTGCGGTACGTGCAAAGTGCGATTATAGTTATGTGCATCAATATCAGGACGGTGTGAGGCGAGTGCAATTGGAATTTTACGTGAGGATGGGTATAGGAAGTAGGGGAAGGTGTATGGATAACGAGATGCAGGACGAATCTCGCCAATATAGTCGGATGTGGGAAAATAATTGGAATTAACGGAATTTGTTGATGTGCCGGAGGCTATGTCATGTGCTGTGGGAAGAAGAACATCTGTAAACACACACGGGGAAGAGAAAGAAACATATTTTAATATTTTTATATTTTTTTTATGAAAATAAAACATTTAAGCATTCAGAGAGGGAGTTTAAATTGGAAAATAAAATTAAAATTCGAGTATGAAAGTAATTGGAGTTGTGCGCATAAGGCGCATTTTTTGGAAAACTTAAAATTTTATACTTTAATTTGTGAAAAGTTTCATAGAAATTGGGGAAAAATTTCATAAAAATCTGGAAAAATTATATAAAATTTGCAAGTTTTAAGGCTTCTTAACCTCAAACTTATAGTTTTGCTGTCTTTTCTACCAGTCATGTGACTGAATATCATCAAATCCTAAATTGTAGCTATTTAACCAAACCCATAATTACAGTTCATCACCTCATCAAGTCCAACAGCTCAACTGACACACAAGAATCAATATTTTATAGACAAAAACTGAAAAGCTTGCAATTTTCATTGATATTTAATTGATACTTTTCATTATCTTCATTTTGAAATCTAAAATCACCATTTTGTATGTCATCGGAGTCATTGGATGTGCATTTATGCTCTGTAATTATCGGTTCTGATATCATGCATAGAATCTACAATTAATATTCAACAAACTCTTCAAAATGCATGCAATTAAGGGATTTAGGGGTTGGATTTGTGAAGGATTTTAATTAACTATTTGAAATGGTATGATAAGTTGACATACATTTGAAGTTATATGGTTGAAATATGTCTTAAAGTTAAACAATTCGTCGATAAAAAAGAAGGTTTAAAAAAATTGCCATGCATTATATTTGGGGCGACACATTATTGTTTACCTAAAATGAAACGCACGAACCAAAAAAATCTGAATGTGCGCAATTTTCAGAAAACTACATTAATGTCTTCTCAAAATATGACGCACAAAGCAAAATTTATCAAAAAAAGTAAAATTAATCCATTAATTCAAGAAGGTCAAAGCCTAATTAACAAAACACAGAACCACTTTATTCATTAAAGCCCGTAGATCCTCATCAATATTACTGTTAAGCCTCTTGAACATGCCCCTTAAAGTATCCTCCAGAAAATTAACTCAAAATATTAATCGAAAAACTTTTTTTGCATGCCTTTTTCTGAGGAAAATCGTCAAGATTTTCTTCATTCACCTTTTCCTTTTCCTTTACTCTTTCAGCATCTTTTAAATGTGATAGATGCAACTGAGAAGATAACCTAACGACTTTCGTCATTATGAAGCATTTAAAGATTGAGGATTTTTGGGTATTTTGGTTAAGATTATGGCGAGGAAGAGGAAATGGAAGTTGGCAAAGAGTTAAAGATTATTTGAGGAAGTTTTGTGGGTTTTTTGATGTTCTTAAGGAAGATTTGTTGACTCTAGATAAAAAAAATTAAGTTTGTGCGTCATATTTTGAAGAGACTGTAATGTGGTTTTTGGAATATACTGCACATAAGCATGAATTTGTTTAAATTTGATGACTTATCTGGTGCAAAATTGTAAAAAAAGTTTCGCTCGTGCGTCATATTTGAGTAAACATTAATGTGTCGCCCCGAATATTGCGCACGACTTTTCATTTTTTTATTCTTTTGCATGTTTATTTACAACTTATAAAAATCTATAACAGTTTAAAACTATAAAAAGCAGTTAGAAAATGGAATTGACCATTAAAATCCTTGCTTCATCCAGTAAGCCAAACTTCCTCAACAAATCTCAATTTCATCAATTTACAACCATTTCCTTAACAACTTCAATTTTCCATAACCAAAAACTGTTTCTGCTTCCTGTTCAACATAAAAATTGCTACTAATAAATTTAAACTTTAAACTTACAAAAAAAAATATTCAACTAAAACACATGTTTTTGGAGCAACTTCGCCATTTCCACAGCTAAAAATTTTCATTTCTTATTCAAAATAATTTTCATTTTATTTCTTTCAATAGCTGCACACAAATCGATTTAAATTGCTTCTCGTATGAAACTTTTTAGCTTTTTTTTTTTTGCATACAACAAAATTGGATTTTGCTTTAAAAAACTGGAAATGGGAAGAAATTGTGCAACATTTTGCTAATGCAAATGAAATTAAGACTCGTAATGCAATAAATCGTGTGTGTTTTTTTTGGAATTTTTTAAAAGTGGATTTTTTTCGTTTCCTCGTTTTGCTTTCTTGCATTGCAGTTTGTGTTTTTTTGGCGGAGGTTGGAGTTGGAATTTGAGAATGAGGGAAGTTATTGCTCAGACTGGGAAATTATTTTATTGAAAAATTAGTCTGAATGCTTGAATTTATTAGAATTTAATATTAAAAAATCATTTAAAACAATTTCAAACATTTTTCAAAGATTTTTAAAAATTTAAAATTTAACGGCTTTTTTAAACTTGAATTTGTAACGGTTTTTAAAAATTTAAATTTACATTTGAAATAAAGAAAATTTAAAATTTTCAATAAAATGTCTTCAATTATTCAAAAATAAGCATAATTTAACCTAAAAATCATTGTATGGAACACTCAAATTACCATAAAATCTAACATTATTTTCTAAAATTCTAAAATATTCATGCATATTGACATAAGAAGCTTGTGCAAGATGTGCAGTAACACTGTTCTACTTACATAATATTATCCTTAAAAATCTACAAAAATATAAAGATTGTTCAAAGATGGATAAAAATAATATCGACAAAAGATAATCCATGCATGACAATGAAAGGAAAAGCTTCAACATTAAAGGAACAAGAAAAGCTTTCAGAGAATGGAAATGAAAACAAGGAAAAGTGACAACGTGAAAAATTAATGTGACAAAGTGAGAAAAATGGAAGCTTTCATGTTGAGTATGGAGTTGGCCCGAGCGAGACATGTTGTGCGTTAGATTTTGGTGAAAGACTTTACTGTTTTCCTTAAATATGACGCACGTGTCTCATTTTAGATAGTTTTGGAGCGAGACTGTAAAGTGTTCTTAGAATATGGCGCACGGAACTGAATTGGTAATTTTCTGGGAGAGAGTTTACTGTTTTCCCTGAACATGATGCATGACTTTTAATTTTTAAAAATTGCAGGGAGAGACTTTACTGTTTTTCCTGAATATAACGCACGACTCTTAATTTGAAAATTGCAGGGAGAGACTTTACTGTTTTCCCTGAATATAACGCACGACTCTTAATTTTGAAAATTGCAGGGAAAGACTTTACTGTTTTTCTTGAATATAACGCATGACTCTTAATTTTGAAAATTTTAGGGAGAGACTTTACTGTTTTCCCTGAATATGACGCACGACCCTTAATTTTGACATTTTCATGATTTGCCTTTAATGTTTTCTTAAAATATAGAGCATGTCCCAGAATAATGATTAAGATCATGCACCACTCGGTTCTAAAAAGTCTTCACGGTTCACTTTTCCCAGAAAAATGAGAAACTAAAAGAGCTTCTGAGCAAAAAAGACGTTGAAAAAAGCAGGAAATGAAAGAAACTATTAGGATCGAATCAACAGGAAAATTGAATGTCATCGAATGCTTTTTTTGTGATGAATAGATGAGAAAGGAAAGGATGCGAATGAGTGAAATAGGATTTAAAGGAAAATGAGAAACATGAATTTAGATAGTTGGAGTAATAAGACATATAGTAAGGTATTATAAAAAGATATAAGGTTGAATAAGTTAAGACTAAATGACACATATTGAGATAAAAATATAAAAAATTCAGGATTGTCAAAATAATTGACTAAATGGTCCCTAGTTAAGAATTAAGGTTCATAAACCATTTTGTAAGACTTTATTAAATATTTGAAGTAAAATTTAATGTTGGTCAGCAATTGCTGACAATTTTGAGATAAATTAAGAAATATATTTGGAATTAAAACAAACCAGGGACGTAACCAGAAGTGTTGAGGGATGTTTTGCCCCTAAATTTGAAAAGGGTCGATACATTACGAGTTTTGTAGATCCCTTGGCCTGGCTACGTCCATCAAACAAGTTCAACAACACAAAAAAAGTAACAAAAACTCAACCAAACAAATTTAAAAATAAATTAATTAAAATCTTTTAAGAGAATTTCTTAAATTAGCCAATAAGAAATTTTCAAAAAACTTAATAGAACAATTAGGAATAAATTTAGCAAATTTTGCTTTAAGAAATTTAAATTTTGGTTATTTTAACTTTCTTAAGGGCAAATTTTTTGAGCGGAATAATTTTTTTGGCGCGAATAATTTTTAGAGACAAAAATTTGATTTAAATTTAAAATTAATAAAATTTTTAAAATTACTTTTTTTAAGTTTTTGGAAAATTGTTTTTTATTTTAAAGAACTTTTAAAAGTTGTTGTTAAAATTTTAAAAAGTTTTTAAATTTTCCAATAAATTTGAATTTGTTTAAAAAACTAAATTTGTCAAAGAAAGTTCAAAAATTTTAAAATCATTTAAAATAATTTTAAAATTAAATTTAAAATCATTTTTCCATACTAAAATAAAAAAAAACTTAATATTCCAAAAAACTTAACAATCAGATTGAATTATTTAAAATAACAAGAATTAAACTTAAATGTTAAGATTTAAAAGCTCAAAGTGTGGTGCTGGTGAAATTTCACTTTGAACCTCAAATCCAGAATTTTAGAAAAACTGTAATAAGTAAAACTGTAAAGCAATTTTTAACACAATAATTTTTAAAAAAATCTTTTAAATTTCAAAAGAATTTAACAAAAAAAAAGTCAACGAAGAAAAAAAAAATTTTTTTTTTCAAAAAGGACAAAATTTTTTTGGGAACAAAAAGGAATAAAATTTTTTAAATATAAAATTAAACTTAAATTGAACCTTACCGACACAAGGATTATGATTAACAACATTAAATATTTTATCACATCGACGTTTCATGTGATTATTTGGACAGATGCAGCCAAACATTGGCGATAGGCGAAGATTTGTCCACGCTTCGTGGCAAGCTTCTCTGTTTAGGGAGGAAATAATAAAAATAATAAAGATTTTGCCGAGCTTCCTCAAAATGATCAACTTACTTGTCCTCCATACGGCACTTATTCTCCCTCACTTTACAGTGAAGTTTAAAATCTTCAAATAATTTGATGCACTTTCGCTCCTGCTGACACACGGACAATGCATGATTGCATGTTGGTAAGGCATCGACTGGATACGGATCCTTTTCGACTGTAATGAAAAAAATGTGATCACAAAAAGTCGTAAAAACATTGAAAATTTCATGATTTGCTAGTTTTTTTCGTGACTGACTGTGGCAGCTAGTAATTGAAAAGTATCAAACTGAGTTCATTTATTGTTAAGTAGATGAAATAAGAATGGAAAAGTTTTTTTGAAGAAGGGCTAAAAGTGTGAGGAATAGCAAGTAAGGAAGTAATTTGGGTTTTGGTATAAGGCGCATTTTTTGGTTGACTGAACTACTGAACTGACTGAACTGACTGAACTGACTGAACTGACTGAACTGACTGAACTGACTGAACTGACTGAACTGACTGAACTGACTGAACTGACTGAAATGACTGATGTGTTGACTTGATTTTCAAGCAAGTAAGAAAAATATTTTGATCATAAGGCGCATTTTTCTACCAAACCTTCCTCACAACTTCTAGAAAAACTAGCTCAATTATAGAAATCTCTTCAGCACGCTATTACACTGGTTTGTAGAAACAATCACGACGAGTCGAACAAGAAAAAGTCCATAAAAGAACTTGCTTGCAAAAAAAAGTTTAAATGAACAATGAAAAGTTGTTAAAAGTAATTTAAACACTAATTAAATCACATAATGAATGTTCGTAAATTGCACTGAAGTTGCCATTTTTGTAGTTTTTGTTCTGCTGGATGTGCTTTTTTTGGGTTGTGAATAATAGTTGATGATGAGGGTGTTGCTGACTTTTAAGCAGGGGTGAGCAACTGATGAATTACGTCTTGAAATTTTTTGATTATTTTTGCACCTTTGAAGCAGGGCTGGTCAACCTATTTGGTTTGACATGCTTAAGAGCCTCTAAAACATCAGAGTTACTTAAGAGTGCCACGGGACATAGGTTTGACACCACTGAAATCCTCTTCTTAACTTAAAACTAAACCAATTAGATATCCCGACCCTCAGCTTTACATCCTCAAATTCCCTTCAACTCAAGTCTGTTCCGAAAATTCTAACTTTCCCTCAAATTATAAACTTTCCAAATTAATTTATTGTCGAGACTGTGAAATAATTTATTATGAATTTTCACTATTTTTTCTGAAGAACTAGTTTTTTCGTCTAAATTATTACAATTATGAATGTCATGGGACTTGTCAGAAGAATTTTTAACAAGAAAGTTGATAAGAAAAAAAGTGGTGTAGTTTTTTCATGTTCGTTGATTATTTTATGTAAATTTCGCTCAATAATTTAGTGGATTTAATGCTCGAATGTGTTGTTTGAAACTGGTTTTGACTGAATGAAGCGTCGCTTCAGCCAAGTTTGAGGCTTTGCTTCAGTCAGGTTCGATGCGTTGCTTCAGTCAAGTTTGAAGCGTTGCTTCAGTCAAGTTTGAAGCGTTGCTTCAGTCAAAATTAAGGCGTTGCTTCAGTCAAGTTTGCAACGTTGATTCAGTCAAGTTTGATGCATTGCTTCAGTCAAGTTTGAGGTGTTGCTTTGTTCAAGTTTGAGGCGTTGTTTCAGTCAAGTTTGAGGCGTTGCTTCAGTCAAGTTTGAGGCGTTGCTTCAGTCAAGTTTGGGGCGTTGCTTCAGTAAAGTTCGATGCGTTGCTTCAGTCAAGTTTAAAGCGTTGCTACAGTCAAGTTTAAGGCGTTGCTTTAGTCAAATTTGATGCGTTGCTTCAGTCAAATTTGATGCGTTGCTTCAGTCGAATTTGATGCGTTGCTTCAGTCAAGTTTAAAGCATTGCGTCAGTAGAGTTTGAGGCATTGCTTCAGTCAAGTTTGAAGTGCTTCTTCCGCCAATCCTAAACCGTTGCTTCAGTCAATCTAAAATCGTTACTTCATCCACTTATTTACCGATTTTCCATTTATTTACTTTACCGACTCCTTACCCACACCACAAATAAATCGAATGCAATTTCATCCACATTGCCTCATCAAAACAAATTCACATTTTCATGCAACTCAAACAGCAAAGAGGCAGAAAGAGGAATTAAATGCATTGCATGTAAACACAATGTATTTATGTACAACATTCATTGCCACTATGACGCCACATAATAATGTTACAATCGAGTTATTTTGTTCATATTTCATGTTTTTGTTGTTGGCTACTGCTGCTGCCCATTCAACCTCTTTCTTTGCTAGCTTTTTTATTTAAGAAACATGACTGTTTCAAGTCACGTAAGAAGAAATGGCGAAGAAATCACGCAGGAACTGTAACAAGTTTGAGGTTAAGATGAGAGTGTATAAGGCGCAGATGACGATATTGAAGCAGCTTAATCGTTGCTCAGTCAACTTGATCGTTGCTCAGTCAACTTGAAAGTTGTTCAATCGAGTTGGTTGTTGTTCAGTCAACTTGATTGTAGCTTAATCAACTCGAAATTCAGCAACTTGATAGTAACTTGATACACATAGTTGCTAAGTCAACTTGAGAGTTGCTCAGTCGAGATAAAAGTTTCTCAGTCAACTTGAGAGTTGCTCAATCAATTTGAACATCGTCCAGTCACTCATAAAATCCATCCATCAAATCACAAATCCATAAAAGTCTGGAATAACTGCATAAAAAGTTGCACATTTCTGCTCTCATTTTTAACTTGTAAGAAATTGCCTCCTTAACTGCCACAAATCACGCAAATGTGCAACAGCAAAAGTCTCATATTTTCCTTTAAAGCATAGAATTAAGCAAGAAATCTTGGAAATTGAAGCCATAAATTAACAACAATTAACTTTTTCCATTCTTGTAAGCACCGTGTGCAGTAAAGTGCACTCGTTAGTTGATTGTGGTCGTGATAGAAGAAAAAAATTTGAATATTCATGAACCGCACTAAAATCCATTGCCACAAGGATATCCAGTCACGAAAACTATTAATTTCAAGCTCACAAAGACTCACCTTTTTTCAGTACAAATCCACATGGATGGTCGAAGAGAAAATCTCGAAAATAATTACAGTCGGGATCCACCCCCGGCTCTTTGCACAGACATGTTGGCCGGAAGAATGGAAATGCTTGGAGGGTTCGGAGAGCTGCTTGACATTTCGTTACTGTCACTGTGCTGCAGGCAACTGAAATGAGAAAATTTTGAATGCACATGAGTAAAATTGCTGGAAAAATGTTATTTTAAATGTAATTAAATTCAAATTGGATAGGAGTGGGTGAGGAATGGGATGTGTTATGGTAAGACGGAATGGTTTTTAAAGCAACGACTCGTTTTTTAAGCAATGGTTTAGTCTGAAGCCACGACTCAGTTTGTATCAATGTATCATTTAAAAGCAACAGTTAAGTTTCAAGTAACGACTCCGTTTGAAGCAACGACTCAGTCTAAAGCAACAACTCAGTTTGAAGCAACGACTCAATCTTAAGGAACGACTCAGTTTGAAGCAACGACTCGGTCTAAAGCAACAACTCAGTTTGAAGCAACGACTCAGTCTAAAGCAACAACTCAGTTTGAAGCAACGACTCAATCTTAAGGAACGACTCAGTTTGAAGCAACGACTCGGTCTAAAGCAACAACTCAGTTTGAAGCAACGACTCAGTCTAAAGCAACAACTCAGTTTGAAGCAACGACTCAATCTTAAGGAACGACTCAGTTTGAAGCAACGACTCGGTCTAAAGCAACAACTCAGTTTGAAGCAACGACTCAGTCTAAAGCAACAACTCAGTTTGAAGCAACGACTCAATCTTAAGGAACGACTCAGTTTGAAGCAACGACTTAATCTTAAGGAACGACTCAGTTTGAAGCAATGACTCAGTCTAAAGCAACAACTTAGTTTAAAGCAACGACTCAGTCTAAAGCAACAACTCAGTTTGAAGCAGTGACTCAGTTTGAAGCAACAACTCAGTTTGAAGCAACGACTAACTTTAAAACAAATGATTGACCATTAAAGGTTTGTCAGGAAAGCCTGATTTTAATCAACTAAGCATTAGAAATGTCATGACTTATTGTCACAATTTAAAAAGATTTTTTCATTTCCACCTTCAATTCCAAAAAGAACCCTTTTGAGCTAAAAAGAAGCATAAAGAAAAATCCCCGAAAATTCATCAACCGAGAAATTTTGATCCTTCCTTTTTTCATCACACAACTTCTTTACCCATTTAGCTTATTCATTCCTTTTTTCTTTCTTTACATTTCTTATCCTTATGTCATAAATATGAAGCACTTTCGTCTCTCTTGATGTCATTTAACATCCAATTTGTCATGAAAAATATTTTCATAATAAAATAGCATAAGCAAGCATGTCAAGAACAATTGAATGATAAATTATGCAGACATTTGACATAAAACATGAATTCCTTGTCATCGTTCATATTCAATCAAAGGGAATAAAAGAAAAAAGACTACAAAATTGTGTCGATGGCAAGACGTGAAGTTTGTTTTGTTGACTCTCGAAGTGCTTGAGTCTTTGTACACAGCTTTTAGTGCTCAAATAGTGGAAGTGAGATGGGAGTGTGAGTGGAAATATGAAAAATAATATCAAGGAATCATGAATGAAGTAGGAGTTTATGTGGGAATATAGATGAATTAAGAATCAGGACACGGAGGAGGGTTTGAGTTGATGTGCTGATTGTTAGTTTACTGCTGTATGCTCCAGGAAATGTATGAATAAAGTTAACTGCTTTTTTTTACTTCACATTGAATCATTGCTTCACTTTGAGTCATTGCTTCAAACTGAGTCGTTGCTTTGAACTGAGTCGTTGCTTTCAACTGAGTCGTTGCTTCCAACTGAGTCATTGCATTAAACGGAGTCGTTGCTTCCAACTGAGTCGTTGCTTCCAACTGAGTCGTTGCTTCCAACTGAGTCGTTGCTTCCAACTGAGTCGTTGCTTCCAACTGAGTCGTTGCTTCCAACTGAGTCGTTGTTTCCAATTGAGTCATTGTTGCACACTGAGTTGCTGCTTCAAACTGAGTCGTTGCTTTAAACTGAGTCACTGCTTTAAGTTTCCCAAAAATAATTCAGCTCTTCTTCCAAAACCTTCATTTTCCCGCCAAAACTCATCCAAATCATCCCTCAAAATCAAACATTTCTTCCTCAATCTCTCAATTTCCTTGAAAAAAATATCCCTCCAAACCCAGACATAAGCCAAATGTTTCCATAAAGCATCAATCCCACGATAACATAACAGTCATAAAATCGAAACGATTCTCATAAAATCAAATAAAATATTAAGCCAATCAATAATCAATGAATCGATCGAATTGTTTGTCGAATATTGTACATTTTGACATGATTATGTTTACTTTATTACAGTCGTAGTCTAAGAACGTAAAAGATGTCTCAGAATAGAATATTCAGGGGTGTTGAAGTAAGATGGAAATGTTGTTGAAGAGCTGTTGAATAGGCCGGGATGTGAAATTTTGAATTTTGAGGGGTTTTCAACTATGAATCCTAAAAGGGGTGTTCAACTATGAATTTTTAAGAGGGGAGTTAAACTATAAATCCTAAGGTTTCATCAATTATAAATCTCAAAGGGTGTTCAACTAAGAATCTTAAAGGGTATTAAACTATGAATTTAAGGGGTGTCAAACTATGAATCTTAAAGGGTGTTAAACTATGTCAACTACGTCATCCATAGTAGTGTTACACTAAGAACTAGCGAAATAACAACTCTGCCTCCAAATCGAAAGGAGTACAAAATTACTGACGAGCTCCTTGAACCCATCCCACAATTTTTCCATCGTTGTTTACATGAATAAAAAATAAAATATTTGATGTCAATTGATTTTTCGTTCCATAGCTTCTGTTGAGCTTTTGTCCTTAAACAAAAGACAGAAATCAAGCTTCATACTTCTTGCTTTCCATAATATGTTGACGAGAAGATGTAAACAACGTGCTTTGCTTGTCTTGAATTTTTGAGTGACATGGCACAAAAGAGAATATCGAAAAAAAATCATGAAAGGATTGACTTCAATGTTGTCGCTGTGTTGTTTGTGATGATGAAAAATTTGTGTGTCAATAAGGTTGTTAGCATTGAATATTTTTTGTGATATTTGAGAGGTTTTTGGTGATTCTTTGATTTTTTTTGATGGCAATGACTTTGTTTTTGGCGGCAAAATTGAGGATTTTTGAGAATTTTTGAAACTTAAATTTGGCCTCTTATCTATTGAGTTCGATGAATCTGATTGAGTTTATCATCAAACCTTCCTCGTCTACCTTTAATTCATTATCAATAAATAATATTGAATCAAACTGAATCGGAAAGAAATGACTTGCGTCTTTCTATTTTTGTAACCGTAGCTGAGTAAAATGGAATATCGTGAGTAAGTAGTAAATTATGAATTACACAGAATGGATTGTTTGATCAAGAATGAAATAAAAATCGATTATCATTGAAATGTTATGAGCTGGGTCAATGAAATGAGAGAATCGAATTTTTTGCATCTTTTAAGCAGAACATTCGCATCTTTTAAGTAGAACACTCGCATCTTTGAATCAAAAATTTTGCATCTTTGAAGCAGAACACTCGCATCTCTGAAGCAAAGGTTTTGCATCTTTGAAGCAGACACTTCGCTTCACTGAAGAAGAAGTTTCACTTCTTTGAAGCGGAAACTTCGCATCATTGAAGCAGAAGTTTCGCATCTTTTAAGCAAAGGTTTCGCATCTTTAAAGAATAAATTTTGCATCTTTGAAGCAACAACTTTGAAATTTTGAAGTAGAACATTCGCATCTTTGAAGCAGAACACTCGCATCTTTTAAGTAGAACACTTGCATCTTTGAAGCAAAGGTTTTGCATCTTTGAAGCAGAACACTCGCATCTTTGAAGCAAAGGTTTTGCACCTTTAAAGCAGAACATTCGCATCTTTGAAGCAAAGGTTTTGCATCTTTGAAGCAGACACTTCGCTTCACTGAAGAAGAAGTTTCACTTCTTTAAAGCGGAAACTTCGCATCATTGAAGCAGAATTTTCGCATCTTTTAAGCAATGGTTTCGCATCTTTAAAGAAGAAATTTTTGCATCTTCGAAGCAACAACTTTGAAATTTTGAAGTAGAACATTCGCATCTTTGAAGCAGAACACTCGCATCTTTGAAACAGAACACTCGAATCTTTGAAGCAAAGGTTTTGCATCTTTGAAGCAGACACTTCGCTTCACTGAAGAAGAAGTTTCACTTCTTTAAAGCGGAAACTTCGCATCATTGAAGCAGAAGATTTGCATATTTGAAGCAGAAGTTTCGTATCTTTTAAGCAAAGGTTTCGCATCTTTAAAGAATAAATTTTGCATCTTTGAAGCAACAACTTTGAAATTTTGAAGTAGAACATTCGCATCATTGAAGCAGAACATTCGCATCTTACCAGCAGAAGTTTGCATCAATAATAAAGAACTTTTCCATAACTTTCCAATTAATTTTATTGATTTTCAATTCAAATATCAAACAAGCTTCTTAATAACCTCATTTATTCAAACTTGACGACCGCTCTTAAACCATCAAGAATGTCAAATGTTAAGTACACAAACTTGCCAATCCACCCAAACCAAGTCATACCTTTAAACTTTTTCGTCATTGAATAATTTTCAATTCCCCATCTACATTACCAAATGCTCGAACATCATAACAAACTCATCAAATTCAATAAATGTAAATTTTTCCCCATTGCAGGAAGAAGAGGAGCAAAAAAATGTAAAAAAATTGTCAAGCACTGTTTGACATACATGCATGAATTTGAACATTTACATCCGTGCAGATATATATACTCGTTCACCAAATGACTTCGATTGATAAGTTAATGTCAAAATGATGAGGCCATAAAATTTTTTTTTCGTCTCCTTCGGAAAATTTTTGTCTAAATTTTTTGCTTACTTTTAAATCAATATTTTATAACTTGAGATGAGTTTGGGCTGCCTAGGCATATTTAGGTCATTAAGGTACATTTTTTCATAATTGAAATAATAGTTTGCATCTTTGAAGCAGAATTTCGCCTCTTTGAAGCAAAAGTTTGCATCCTTGAAGCAAAACTTTGCATCTTTGAAACAAGAGTTTGCATCTTTGAAGCAAAAGTCTGCATCATTTAACCCAAAATGCTTAAAATCATGCACGAGCCTACTCTAATCATCCCAAACTCCCCAATAACATTCCATATTTGCCGTATGCTTCATTTCAAAGATCGAAACAGCAACAAAAAAAATTATTTTCCTCTCAACTGCTCGATATTCGACATTAAAGTGCCATAAAATGAGCTCCAAGGCTCACTGCGATATCGATTTGATGGGAGAAAAGTAAAAACCATAAAAAGGAAGCAGAGCGTAAGGTAAGCATCACTGCTGTTTTGTATAATTTTCATATAACATTATGAATGAATGAGTAAAGCATGTAGTAATGACTGTATGAAAGTTGATTTCATGTGAATAAAAAGAAGATAGAATAAAACTTGAAGTAGAACATGATAAGCGAAAAATTTAAAGGGAGAGGGAAATATTGTTAGGAATGATTTAGAAGAGGTAGACAAAAATAGGAATTTGACGATGATTAAAGTTCGATTTTTGTAATGACTCATGATCTTGAAAATACTTGTCACGTTTGTTTTGAATTTGTCTTTCAAGATTAAGGTTAGGTTTGTCTTTGGGATTGAGGTTAGGTTTGTCTTTGGGATTGAGGTTAGGTTTGTCTTTAAGATTGAGGTTAGGTTTCTCTTTCAAGATTGAGGTTAGGTTTCTCTTTCAAGATTGAGGTTAGGTTTGTCTTTCGGTTTAACGTTAGGTATGTCTTCAAGATTGAGGATAGGTTTGTCTTTGGGATTGAGGTTAGGTTTGTTATTCAAGATTGAGGTGAGGTTTGTCTTTGGGATTGAGGTTAGGTTTGTCATTCAAGATTGAGGTGAGGTTTGTTTTTCAAGATTGAGGTTAGGTTTGTCTTTGGGATTGAGGTTAGGTTTGTCTTTAAGATTGAGGTTAGGTTTTTCTTTTAAGCTTAGGTCTGAGTTAATGTTTCATTTGCTTACCTGGAACTGGACCACAAACCCGTGGTATAATTTCTAAAATAGCTGAGCATGATGGATCCTCGAAGCACAGTTGACGAGCTAATATACAATTAAGTATTGCTATTGCTATCTTTACATTGGGCCCTGCAATTATAAGAAAATAAATAAAATTAGTTGAAAAAGTTGTCAATTTTATTTTTCATTAAAAAATGTAATCAAAACTTTTGAAAAATGAGGCACATTTCACTTCGTTTGCCATCAACCCTAGCATAACAACCATAATATATACCCTTATACCCATTATTATCCATAAAACCTAGATAAATTTCCTGCAAATAAACAATTCAGTTGAATCTTACAATCTTAATCTGATGAACAATTAAATTATGATTAATGAAAAGCGCGCTTTTTTGCGTGTCAGTTAATTCAACCTTAATTGAGTGTATTGCCGTCCACCAAAGCCACTAAACTGTACAGTATAATAATTTTATGTCATGTCCTTAAAATAGTCATAATTACAGCGCAATTGCACGTGTAGAATTGATTGATGGACAGTATCGATTGCTTTAAAAAGAATTTTATGTTATGTTGATCATTTGAATTATTTATTGAGTTATTAGCAACTATTATGGAAGTTAAGTATTACAGAATTGATAGATATAAATTTATTAAAGAATATTGAGCGTTGGAATTTTATTGAAGCCTTTGACCGCTCAGCTGTAGTTATTGTTATTAAGAAGACAAATAAATGCAGAAGCGAGTCATTATTCAGATCTACTGACGCTTAGCTTCACTGACGCTCAGCTTTCCTGACGCTTAGCTTGACCAAGACACAGCTTGACTAACGCCCAACTTGATCAACGCTCAGCTTGACTAACGCTCAACTTGATCAACGCTCAGCTTGACTTTCGCTCAGTTTGACTTTCGCTCATTTTGACTATTGCTCAGCTTAAACACCGCTAAGCTTGACTATCGCTCAGCTTAACCAACGCTCAGCTTGACTATCGCTCAGCATAACCACCGCTCAGCTTGACTAACACTCAGCTTGACCTACGCTCAGCTTGATCAACGCTCAGCTAGACCAACACTCAGCTTCACCTACACTCAGCTTGACCAACGCTCAGCTTGACTTTCGCTCAGCTTGACTATCGCTCAGCTTGACCATCGCTTAGCTTAACCAACGCTCAGCTTGACTATCGCTTAGATTAACCACCGCTCAGCTAGACCAACACTCAGCTTCACCTACGCTCAGCTTGACCAACGCTCAGCTTGAACAACACTCAGCTAGACTGATGGTTAGCTTAACTTACGAAAATTTAATTCAAAAATAGCTTCAATGATCCAAATGTAATCCATCTACATTACACAAAATAGCTTTATCATTCATACATTCCTAATATACTCACTAACAGCAATTGAGTAACAACTTATTCCAATCATTCCGCTTACATGAGCTCAATCTTAAATTGCGACAATAAAAATTGCAGAAAAAAAACTTTCATTTTGTAATCTTTGTGCGATTATCAACAAAAGAAGCAAGAAAATTTCACGCTTTTTTGGATTCTTCTTCATCCACGAGACAGATGCTTGGCAACAAACTTTTTTCTCACGTATACAACGTATGCTGCTTCCCCTCATCTCTGCTAAACTGAATAAGCTTATCAAAACATTGTTGACATAGCGATTGTGAGAAGGTAAAGAAGAGGAGGAGGAAGTACAAAAGGGGTTCTCAAGTGATACTTGACATACGTGCGTATTTTGGATGCGTGTATTATTAACACACAAGACATTATCAGTGCTTGTTGTACCAGCGGAATTATGAGGAAGTGAATTGGATGGGGGGAAATTGTGACAATCGGAAGTAGCAAAAATATTTTTTGTTCGCTGTTTATTTTGTTATTGAGGAATTTGGATAAGAGTTGGGGTAGGAGCAAGTGTGATGAAAAATTCAACATTCATAAGGCCGAGCTTCAGTTAAATTGAGCATCAGTCGAGATGAGCGTTGGTCAAGCTGAGCGTCATTCAAGCTGAGCTTCAGTCAATCTGAGTTTCAAGCTGAGCTTCAGTTTAGCTAGTTTTCAATATAATTGTCAGTAAAGTTGAGCTGTAGTCAATCAAATCACCAGAAACTTTCATAGTGCATCAAACCTCAAATAATTCCAGAACCCTAGGAGCAAAAAAAGTTATGAATATCAAAAACAGAATTCTAAGGATGCCAAACAAAAATCATGAATTTTTAATGAGAATTCCCCGTAACCAGCAATCCATTTATTCCAAGTCTTTCTTCCTCATCAACATCATCCTCAATTTGCATGCAGTGGTAAAGAGAAAATCATAACAAACTTTACTTATTTCGCACAGTGTGCAATAGAATTGAAAAATGCTCAAAGCGAAAGAAAGAAGAGAAATCTGAGAATGGAAATGACACTAAAGATATTTCAAGTAATGTTTTCATCACAAAAACAACATGATGAATTTTTAGCGTATTTTCCTAAGGAACAATACGCTTTTATCTTCACTTTGGCTGGCTGGCTGGCTGGCTGGCTGGTACCGTGAGATCTCAGCAATGAAAGCATATAGAGCCTTCGGATTTTTTGCATTCAATCCTTGCCATATTGTAGGCAAACCGAATCCGCTTTATGTTTCATAACTTCTTACCAAAACTTAATTAAATTAACTTTTATATGTTTTTTGCAACGACTTAGCCGACTTTTGCATAACATACGAGTTTGATAAAACAATTTCAAATTTCAAAATAGCCGTTAAAATTTTGAACGTTGCTTCATGTAACGTAACTGGATTTTAGTTTTTGAGTTTCTGGATCTTCGTTTTTGGGATTGGATATGACTTTAGAGTTACTGTATCTTTGTTATTGGTGTTGGATATGACATTAGAGTTACTGGATCTTTGTTTTTGGTGTTGGATATGACTAAAGAGCTACTGGATCTTTGTTTTTGGTGTTGGATATGACATTAGAGTAACTGGATCTTTGTTAATGGTGTTGGATATGAGTTTTAAGTTACTGGATCTTAGTTTTTGGGATTGGAAATGAGTTTTGAGTTACTGGATCTTAGTTTTTGGGATTGGATATGACTCTAGAGTTACTGTATCTTTGTTATTGGTGTTGGATATGACATTAGAGTTACTGGATCTTTGTTTTTGGTGTTAGACATGACATTGAAGTTACGGGATCTTTGTTGATGGTGTTGGATATGAGTTTTGAGTTACTGGATCTTAGTTATAGGTGTTGGATATGACATTAGAGTTACTGGATCTTTGTTGATGGTGTTGAATATGAGTTTAGAGTTACTGGATCTTAGTTTTTGGGATTGGAAATGAGTTTTGAGTTACTGGATCTTAGTTTTTGGGATTGGATATGACTCTAGAGTTACTGTATCTTTGTTATTGGTGTTGGATATGACATTAGAGTTACTGGATCTTTGTTTTTGGTGTTAGACATGACATTGAAGTTATGGGATCTTTGTTGATGGTGTTGGATATGAGTTTTGAGTTACTGGATCCTAGTTTTTGGTGTTGGATATGACATTAGAGTTACTAGTTCTTTATTTTTAATGATGGATGTGAATGTAAAGCTACTGGATCTTTGTTTTAGGGGTTGACTATGACTGTAGAGCTACTGAATTTATGTTTTTGATACGGGACATGTTTTAAATGCTACCAGATCTTTAAAATAAAAATCTGGAACGAACTATTAAAGATCTGGTACGAAAAATTAAGGCCCTCAAACGATTTTGAGTTACAACTAAGTTTACTGATCAGTAAGAGGAAAATACGCTGAAGTCGCCCAGATCCAAAGTACTGGCGATCTTTTTACTAGTTTTTTCTTGCTTAGGAATTCATCATGTAAGCGAGTTGTTGTGTTGTGAAATTCTTTACCAAGAATTGATGGAAAGGGTTGAGGGCTAATTATAGTAAATTGAATTTATATTAGCGACAGAAAGCTTTAACCAAATTAAGTTGCCTAGCATCACTAAAAGTGAGCGTCATTCAAGCTGAAAATCATTAAAGCTATGGGCTGTTAAAGCTAAGCGTCATTAAGTCTGAGCATTAAGGCTGAGTGAAATTGAGGTTGAGCATAATTATGGCTAAATGTCATTTTGGCTGGTCGTTGTTAATGCTGAGCGTCATTAGGGCTGAGCGTAATAAATGTTGAAAATCATTAAGGCTGGGCGTCATTAATGTTGAAAATTATTAAGGCTGAGCGTCATTAATGTTGAAAATCATTAAGGCTGAGCGTCATTCATGCCGAGCGTCATTAAGGCTGATCATAATCATGACTGAATTTGATAGAGGCTGAGCGTCATTAAGACCGGGCGTAATTAAAGCTGTGCGTCGTTCAAGCTGAGAGTCATTAAAGCTGTGGGTTGCCAAAGCTAAACGTTATAAATGGCTGAACGTCATTAAGTTTGTGCATTGTAAAAGCTGAGTTTCACTGTGGTTAAGCATAATTCTGGCTTGTTGTTATTGAGGCTGTGCGTTGTTAAGGGTGAGCGATATTAAGGCTTTGCGTCATTTAACAGAGTATCATTAAGGCTGAGCATTATTATGACTGAGTGTCATAGAGGCTGAGCGCCATTAAGGCTGAGCGCATTAGAGGCTGAGCGTCATTGAGGCTGAATATTACGATTCCTTCAATCAAACAGTGACATTTTGTAATCATTCCAATTTTTAATATTGACCTTCTTTTTTCATTGTAAATAAATCTTGTCAATCAATTTAAAAGGTTAAAATTAATCATGAGAAGTAGAACAAAAATCAATCAATTAAGTCTGCAGCTAAAAATAAATTCTGCGAGTCACTTTGACTCTCAAATTTCTTCAACATTCAAAAATAAATCGATCGAAGACAAACAAAATTGAATAAAATATGGAAAAGGTAAAAGTTCTGAGGAACTAGCCGTCATTCAATTAAGCTCAAAATTGACGCGTGATATTTTTGGAAATGGGTTGAATGAAAAATGTTAAAAGTCACTGAAGAAGTCATAAGTTGAGAGGTTTTGTAGCTTAATTGGACAGCTTACATGTAATATAATAAGAATCATGCAGCTAAACCCCCAAAATAGCATCCAAAACGTAAAGGATCAAAGACTCGCACTTCATTAAAATTCAAAAATCAATGAGTAA